ACACGATGTCCCAAAAAACTGAAATAACGTATTGTTAGAATTTGAATGCTCATCACTCTGCTGAACGCACAAGTGCATAAAAGTTTGACATAAGTAAATTTTCATTATCTTTATGCCTTGACATAAGAGATATTTATGTAATACGCAGCATTAATTATTTTTATGTTAGAAAAAAACGAAGTAAAACTCGTTCTGAGTTGAGTTGAACCATTTTCACCCGAACTGATAATGTGAATAATTTGTAATTTTATCATCTTTGCTAAGTTATTCTCTTTTAGAATTTAAAAAGTTGCTTTAAATTCCCAAGAGCAGAGAGTCGTGCGAGTGACAAAGATAGTTTAATTTCTTAAATCTTTAATCAGTCACTAGTATATGCACCCTGTCAATAGTTTACGCATCTTTGCGTTCAGCTTAGTGCTCATGCAGGGCATTCAAATTCTAACAATACGTTATTTCGATAGTTTTTGGACACCCTGTATATGTATGCCTATGTAAAACCAAAATAACACATCCCAATGACCAGTGTAAAACTTCGGTAGTTACAATAACTTATATGTTTGATATATACATGTTTAATTGTAATTTTGACTTATAAAGTAAGCTATCCTTATTAACATACTTAATATTCTTTCGTTTTTGTTGAGTTGTGCAGGTTACTACTGGAACGGGACAAGGGAAAATAATGGGTAATATTTTTTAGTTTATATAGTAAACGAAACCACGGAAACCTCATCTCTTGCCAGAACAAGTTTCGCATGTTGGAATTTGTGTTGTACAAATCGTTCAACGAGGTTTTCCGCAGGGACGTTTATGTTCACCAATTCACATTGATTCGTAGATAATTTTGAATTGCTCAGGGACAAGCTTACAAGGATTCGACTTACAGGTTCATGTTTCGCATGTCAGAAGACGCACAATTTTGCGGTATTACTGTAGTATAATTTACTATACGTTCCTTTTGAATAGTGGGCTTAATAAGCAAGTGACGTTTTTGCCAACACGAACGGCATGAGTAACGTCAGGAGACTGGGTCAAGGGCTGTGATTGGTGAAAAATGTCAATTTTACTTCCGGTCGACATCCGTGTTGTTAAAAACTTGCTTAAGCTCACTAATGTCAAAAAGACTGTTACGCCATCGCGCGTCGCCTCTTTCTTGCCATGCTACTCTACGTAGACCTACATGCATGAAATGCATAATTTTAGAAAGAGTAGGAAAGTGCTAAAACTCTATTTTACCTTCAGGAATGTATATAAACATTGTCAGTAATTATTTTAGGTTAGAGTGGGGTTAGGGCTTGATTTAGGGAATAGGGAAAACGTTACATACCTGTTTTTCCCATACATAACTGCAGATAACCTGAAACATATACCGGTCGTGCTCTTGCACCAGTCCAACCCCTCCAATCACTCCGAAACAAGTTGTTCAGAGGCTTATATATAATAATGTAGAACTTAATAACTTGCTACTAACTCCAGAAGAAGGGCCTTCGCTCAAGACGTCGAAATTCTTCTTATACTTTTCAAGTAGTTGCATCTCTATAGCCCCTAAGGCCCTGTCACACTATTGCATGCAGCATGCGTATGACGGTATGAGAAGCGGCGTATGAAAATTAATGAAATAATTTTAATACGCAGAAAAATCCTTTGAAATGCCAGCGTATGAGTACCGTATACATCTGGTGTGCCTCTATCCGCGTATTCAGCGTACGCCTAGAGTGCTTATCGTATAAACCATACGTCCGAATACGCACAAAATTTGTAAGCATGCTTAAAAAAAGTTTCTGCCTCGCCGTATGCCACCGTATGCGACCGTGCTTGAAACGTGACAACCTATGTCCATCAACGTAACCCTAGCATATATGTCAGCGTTTTCCAGCGAAAATGAGTGATATTTTCCATACGCTGGCATGCGCTAGTACGATACACAATAGTGTGACAGGGCCTTTACCAACCGAAAAGCTTGAACTTATAAAAACATCATTGATAATGAAATCTTCCTTAATGAAGAGAAGGTCCATATTGTGTTAGTCGACTAGCTTGGACGGATAAAAATTGAGCCCTGGCATCAATAGCCCCTTAAATTAAAGTTCGGGAAAGGTTAAAATGCATAACGGTCTTTAAACCAACCTCTCCGGCTTTAGAAGCGTTTCGAACTATTGCTATACGTTATGATGAGTAAGAGCTAATATGTTTTAAAGGAAAATTATTACAAGAGCAATTTTATTTAAACTTGAACTATAACACTATACAAAAAGAGAGCGTCAATCAAATTAACAGTAATTAGATAAAATGGCTTTAGTTTCACAAATCGTTGCAACGTGTAACAGAAGCTTAACTCTTAAGACCAATGATAAACACAGAATGATTTTGGAAGAACTTTTTTAATATTATTATGATTAATACTTAAGTATAATTTTTAATATGATTAACATTTAAGTATATCGATGCATTTTTATCTCATATCATATATATTAACACATTTTGACAGTATGCACGTGCACTCACTATTTGATTGATAAAGTCATTACTGACATGAACAAGCTTTCGTTGGTAGGGATGCAACTACCCGAGAAATATAAGGAGAATTTCGACGTTTCGAGCGAAGGCGTTACCATGTGCCAAACATATAAATCGAAGCCATGCAGTGAGTGGAGAGTCAGTTGCATTGCTAACCTGGACGAAAAGAGATAAGAGAGTTTTCAAGTTATTATACATTTACTAATATGGGTAAGTATATAAATGACTTATATTTAAATCTTTTTATGTTACTTAATTGTAATTTCATTTATTAATTGTAATTTCATTCATTTTTATTCACTGCATCTAAGGACGAAAGTGGACTTATGTTCATTTATGCAATTATATTCTTTCGTCAAAGTCCAAGATCTGATTGGTTATGTAGTGAATATATGATACTAGTTGACCTGCACCGAAGGACTTAGCATATAGCTTATATTCAGTTATGTAGATGTATTTACGTGAAACTCCAAGTTGTGATTGGTTGGATCAGTGAATATATGCTAACAACGACTTAAATTAAGCAACTTAAAATGACCCAAAGTGAATCAAACTTAAAATAGGCAGACTAAGGCCTGTTTTATACGTCGAATTTCGGTCGCGTCGAATGCAATTCAAACAATAGATAATGAAGCTTAACGAGGTTTATCATCTCATTATCTATTGTCTTAATTGCATTCGACGCGACCAAAATTCGACGTATAAAACAGGCCTAACTCCCTTGCCTGCCATACCATGGTTTAGTTGTTCGGTTAGGTTGTGGAAAAGACCATGCAAACTTGTGCCAAAACCCCGCACATGTTCACATATGTCGTATAGTTAAAGAAGTAAATCATAGGAAACGATAAAAGCATTAATAATTAAATGATCAAAAATTCCTAAATCATGGAGATAGCATATCTAATCAAAGCATACTCATGCATGTGGGATTTGCAAAGGCGAGCATATTCAAATGCCGGCAATAATTTCTAAACAAGTAAACTACAGGTAGATAAACGCTAAAAGAAGTAGAACGTTAAAATGCCACATCGCCGTGTACGAAGAAACACATTGTTGCAGGTTGCTGCATGTCAAAGCAATTAGCTGATAAAATAATTAGAAAAGATGCCCTAATGTGATCATGCAGGAGGATGTTTAATCGGGCTTCGACATTGCTCTTTTCCACCAACTCGTCAAAAGCAGCATGTATATAATTGGTATATGAATGAAGAAGAGCACGTTAGTCGTTACAAATTGCATTTATGTTAAGCATAGCAAGTTTCGCAATGACCATGTCATCATCCATTTCACCTTGCTTTACTGCGTTGCTATATACATGCATGTATTTCGCATGATATTTTAAAACTGTATGCAAATAATTCAGTGTTTACAACTGCATTCAAACAATTCTGTACACTATATTTTACAATAGCTATTACAGAAAACAAATAATTATCATATGGCCAGCACGAAAAGAGTATCAGCACCAATTTTGCGTTGGTTAAGTCCATAGATATTCATCGGAGTATAACTACTGTATATAACTTATAGTAAATATATGATAACTTGAAACAGTATATAGTGTTTTGCCCGAATCGTGTTTGCCATCGGTACGCGGCATGTCTGTTTATGCATCCAAATTTACAATCTGTTATTTCTTTTCTTATATTATATTATATTCAATTCTTATATTAAGTAGGTTTCACTATAAAGTGTTATAGTGGTTATACATGGGGAAACACAACTTTACATGCATGTATTAATTGAAGACTTATACCTACATTGGTAGCCTGTCATATAGTCGTATGAGCGACTACATAACGATAAAATGCATGCATTAATTTGCAACCAAACAGAAAATAACCGAAACACAACTGCGTTTCACTCGTAAAGCAATTATTAAATGCAAATAATTTTGATAGATGAAAGTTCCACTTCATTGTACTTTGCTCCATCCATGTAAAGAATATTGCGGCTGATTTACGATATGTGTGAATTCCCTTGCGACCTGATTACTGTAGTCCGTGTGTTGTGACCTTGAAAAGTGCCTATAGAAAACGATTTTCATGATGCATGTCTTAGATCTGAAATACTTTTACGGGAACTAACACTTTCGAACACGCTGATTTCAAATCCGAAAAGTTCCCACTCCGTAGACCCGCAGGTTTTTCACAAAATGCTATTTTATCTTTACTAATTTCACAACAAATTTTTTCATTGTTCAACGAAACGGATCGATGACGATACACGATTATGTCACCAAAAAGGACCAATTTCTATTAACCATTCTTCCTTTAAACAAAAGACCGGTTTTGCTCGAATCATTCTCAGTTATGCAATCTTATGCGTGTTGGACGTAAACAGCATATCTTGTCTACAACTCTGAGAAGGTACAGATAATTCCTTCTAAAATCCTTAGTTCTGGATCTATCTCTATAAAGTCACAAGGACGTTAATGTCAAGTCTTTGTGCTATATGTCTCTGGGATGAGAAATAATTCCTTACATGCTATCAAAATGTTTTATACAAAGATATAAAACGGTAATCTATATGTAATGGATCAGCATTGAAATTTCCAACACGGTTTCCGAGACGTAATTCAAGATTAACTTATCATTGCATTTGAGCTATTACATCAGTTGGTGTTATACTGTGCGATAAGCGAATATTATTGGAGAGAGGGCTTCTATATACGTTGAAATCATCAAATAAACAGCTCATGCACACATTTCTGCACTTTGTGGTAAGTTTACAGAGCATATTTTATACTTTGGGACTGATCTTTGTCTTTGATGTGAACATTTATTCTCATAGTTTAAGGTTATTTAAGATTGATCCTGTCCTAAGTCTTCTAGCAGCAACCATTCGACAATATTTCATTTTAGCGCTGTCTTTGCCGTTACTTTGGCTTCGCGTTACTTTTGTTTTAAATAACCTGATTGCGTTAAAAGAGTTATTTTTCAGGCCAGTGACATAGCTAAAGACTTTGCATTAATGTCCTTGTGATTTTATAGAGATATCTCTAGAATTGATCATTTTAGAAAGCGTTGTCTGTACCTTCTCAAAGTTGTAGACAAGATATGTTGTTTACGTCCAACACGCATAAGATTGCATAAATCAAAATGATTCGAGCAAAACCGATCTTTTGTTAAAAGGAATAATGGTTAGAAACTGGTCTTTTGAGCCGTGACATAACCGTGTATCGTCGTCGATCCGTATCGTTGAACAATGAAAAAATTTGTTGTGAAATTAGTGAAGATAAATTAGCATTTTGTGAAAAAACTGCGGGTCTACGGAGTGGGAACTTTTCAGATTTAAACCCAGCGTGTTCGAAAGCGTTAGTTCCCGTAAAAATATTTCAGATCTAAGACATGCATCATGAAAGTGAACGATATTGGGTCATAACACGCGGACTACTGATCAAGGTCTGCAAAACATAAACTATATATAATCACTGTATATACGAAATCATCCAGTCACACTTCTTTCCATAGGGACCTTTAGCTAGCAGGACGGCGACGGCTATTAACACAATGAAATTTATGACAGTGTAGAAAGAAAATGCATAATTAAAGGTCCCTTGGGAGTTTTAGACGTCGTCCTTGCTCTGTTTACAACAGCAAAGCAAGATTTTCACGTTTTGTATACAATGTCTGCCTTTCAAGCCGCGAGAAGTCGTCCTCGCCAAATTGGCTTAGTAGAAGTCTTCTCAACTATAAACCTCTGTCTTAACCTTCTAAATTACAATACATTCATACAACGGATAATACAAGACATGTTAATCTTAAAGTTACTTATTTGAACGAGTTTTTTTGGCCGTCGTCGTCGCGTTGCCGTCAACAGGGACCTTAAGCATGTACGACGGCAACGCGACGACGACAGCCAAAACAAACTTCTTCAAATAAATTATTGCGAAGAAGAGTAGTTGTGTATTATCCACTACAAGTATATATAAATTGAGTTCAGTTTGAAGAAATTAAAACAAAGGCTTTATTGTTAAAAACGCTTCTGCTGAGCAAATTTGTAGTTTCACTTGTCGCGTCTTGACATGTTTGCGTTGTACACGAGACGTGAAAATCTCTGGTTTGCCGTTGTAAAAAGCCCTAACACAACGTATTCATTTCTTTTGTACGAGATCAGGAATGTCATTGTGTGAATAGACGTCGCCGTCGTGTTGCAGCCCTGTTAGCTTAAGGTCCCTAACTATTTGCTAAAGGTCCCTCATATCTGAGAAGAGCGTGGGGAACCCATCTTCCCTTCGAATCTTGCCACGAGAAGTATTTGTGTATGTGAATATAACTATTCACTACGATCGATCGAGCTATAACTGCAGTATAAATCTGAAAGACCCGCTTTAACATGTGCATGTATCAACATTCAATTTATTCAGGATATAGTCCCGTTCTGTCACAACCAAGTATTTTGCATAAGCATGCAAATTCAAAAGCGGCAACCAGTAGCAATCAGCGATTTTGATCATGCTTACGTCTCGAGAATCGGATATTAATGAGGCTACAGTATACAGTATAAGTCCGCTTTCGTCCTTATTAAGCCTGTTTTCCACTAGGCGCAATTTTGGGCGCGCAGCGGAAATTTTCTTTGTCTTTTCTAATTAGTTTTACCCGAGAAATCACAAGACAAAGAAAAATTCCGCTCCGCGCGCAAAATTCCGCCTAGTGGAAAACCAGCTTTAGACAGTGCAGGCCAACTAATATGCAATAGAGTTGATGTTCGCGGGCATAAATATGTTTTTGGCCTGATTCAGACTCATTTAGCCCGAGCGTATATATAGCGAGAGCCACTAAATGAGTTCTGCGGATGGCCAAAAACATATTTATGCCCAAGGGCAAGACGATCAACTGCATTACTATTATAATAACTTTAGAGGGCGATTACAGTATAGTGAAAATATAACAAATAAACGGCAAATACTAGAATAATATTGCAATGCCGTCTTCACGCTATACACATGCATGCATTGTTAATATATTACGTTGTATTAACTACCAAGTCAACTCAGTTTAAATACGGAGAAAAATAAACTAAACCGTTCTCAAAAGCCGACAAAAGGAAGACGCAGTTTATGAAGACGAAATTTATGAAGTGATACAGTTTGGTGTAAAAAAGCTAGTTTCGTTTTTAAACACCAGCGAACTACGCGGATAAATTTACATTCACTTCGTCACCGTTATATAGTTTCTGGCACAACATATTAATTCTTCGGTTTTCCCTTGCTTTCGGGAGTGAATTCTAGCTTATTTAATTTTTGAAAATAGATACTCTATATATATCCGAGTCTATATCTTCTATTATGGTTTTTAACAACCATTTTGTCGATAAAAATTTAAAGAAACCTGCCCAGAGCCAGCATTGCTAAAAACGACCGCCGCCGGAGGTAAACAATTTAAATTCAGCGGGCTAAAATGCATTTTAGCCCGCTAATTTGATCATTTTAGCCCGCCAATTTGATCATTTTAGCCCGCAAAATACGCCACATGCCCTCTAAAGTTCTTATAATTTACAATATCTGCAAAGTTATTAATTAGCATAAAATTAGAAGTGAAATGAAAATTATTATGAGATGCACTCTCCATTCAAAAGTAGTAGCTTTTTCTCGTAATTTGTATTTTTCAAATTGCTGCACAAAACGTAGGTTAATTATCATCTAGAAGTCACTATCGCAAGGAAGTGCTGCCTCACCCCCAAGGGATCAAAGGCAGCATGCGCAATTTGCTGAACTAGGGGCTGTTTTTATGATCGATCCCGCTTTGCCAGGACGAGATATGAGGCGGGGGATTTCGATGTATTGAAATAAGTCCCGGTGCATGGTTTATTTTAAAATGAAATTTACTTGCCTATTGTATAGTGTGTGGTCTCCTTTTATTCCTCTTTTGTTGGACTAATATTTTCCAAGACTTTGTACTCGATGGTTGCGGCCGCTACTGGTATACATAATATACAGTATGATAAAGGCAAACGGCTTCCGATCGTCGATCAGTCGCCACAAGCACTTCGAATCGAAAATTCACCCTCTCAAATCGCTTTATTATCCAAAAAAATTCGCCAGCCTGTGGAACAGACGTCGTTCTTTGAAAATACTGAGATGCTTCGGCGAGATGTATAAGTTTTGGACAATATGAGCAGTGCAATTTTTTCGAAATACAGTGCCAAAAAGTGAAATACAGTGCAAAAATGAAATACAGTGCGAAAAGTAGAAATAATACAAAAAATCCAAACATACGATTGACAAAATATGGCTGGCGTTACAGTAGATGTTCTAATAAAATTGTTTATATCAAAATGATTTATTTCGCATGTGACCTACGCATGCACATGACTATACAATTTTTTCATGCATGGATATTATTGATAAGTATGAAAAAAGTCCGAAAACATTTACTCGTGAGTTTTCAAAAACGATCAAAATTGCACGAGTCCGAAGGACGAGTGCAATTTGACGTCTTTGAAAACTCACGAGTGTATGTTTCCTCAAATTCAAAAACTCATTAATAATTCATGAAGCAATTATCCAATCTTGAGTAAGAAATTAGTCACGTGCATACGTCTTTATACCAGCTAAAGAACACTTTAACAAAAGACCATTACGCAAACTATATAAAGATTTTTATATAAAGATTTTTATATAAAGATTTTTAAATAAAAATTTTTATATAAAGATTTTACTATTATGCAAACATTTTTGAAGCCATTTAAAAAACTCGCAGGTCGTGTTTTATTAGGTCTAAAGCCACTCGCGCTGCGCGCTCGTGGCTTTAAACCTAATAAAACACTCCTGCTCGTTTTTTAAATAGTACATAAAAGTTTCGATAATATCGACTCGTTGTGCTGGACTGTGTTTGATAAATTTGATAAATTTAGGTGTTAAGATTTCAAACTTCAAGCACGTTAGGCCGATCATTTTGGTACTGTTCATCTTGCCAGTTGTAAAATCTACTATGACAGGTACGTAATTCGAAGCTTTAGGTTCAAGTACTTTTACAATTATATTTTTGCACAGTATTTTATAATCTATTTGAAATAATTAGTTTCACTCAGCACTACTGTGCAGCAGATGGTGGTCAACCTGCAGATATATATCAGAGTGACTGAGAAAAATAGAAAATGGTATTAATTCTCTATATTATATCCTGGGGCCGGTTGTATAGCCTTAACTGCAGTTAAAAAGTAGTTAAAGTTAACTATGCTTTTGGGTATAGTTAATTAACTGTCCAAAACGTAGTTAAAAATGGCGTTTGTATAGGAGTGAACAACATTTTTCAATAAAACAACAATGAAAAGCAACGTTTACCTGAGATTTTCAATCGCTATCTTCCCTGTGAATGTTTCCTGACAATATAAACTCTTCAAAC